GGGGTAGGGGGGGCACTCCCCCTCCCCCCTCGACTGTAGCGTCGGCTGCACTCCCCCTCCCCCCGTCGACCGTAGCGTCGGTGGCACTCCCCCGTCGACCCGTAGCGTCGGCTGCACTTTACTAGAAACTGCTCTACCACTAACCTCTCTGTAACTCCACTTCATGTGTCTGATGACTTCTTCATCTCTTACTCTCTCCCACTCTCTATAACTAACAAACCTCCCTCATTGACTAACTCTGTACCGGCTCGTCGCAATATTCGCTCCCTCTCTCCCTCCTCGCTGGCATCCTCTGTTCTATCAGCTCTCCCTTCAACTGATTCCTTCTCACTCTTGCATCCAAACGCTGCTGCAGAGACTCCTCTCAACTCTTTCCTTCTCTCTAGACTCTCTCTGCCCTCTTACGACACGACGGACTGGCAAATCCCCTCCGGCTCCGTGGCTGTCTCAACCGGTGCGTGCCATGAGAGCCACCACGCGAGCGTCGGAAAGGAGATGGGGTAAATATAAACAACCTGACGACCTGCTTAAATTTCAATCTCTCCTCTCTGATAATCAAAAGTTATTTTCATGGGCTTAGTTGGGGGTTTTGCTGTCTTGTCTTGATTTAAGAGTTAGGTAAGGGGGAAGCAGGATCTGCCAAGCAGGCAGACACGAGTCCGACAGGATGAGGAGTCAGTTTCTGTCCTGGCTGAGGAATGTAAGGTCTGCGGGTCAACTGGAAGATTTACCAGCCAAAGGGGGTTAGAGACACACCAACACTATTCAACATACACACTCTGTTTACGATGTTTACGTTAAGTCAGGAGTCTGGAAATTGGATGTGACCGGATCTTAGATGCGGGAGGTGGAAGGTCCTCCTCTACGCCAGTTTAGGGCCAATAGAAATATTTCCTTCTCTGTCTTTCAAGGGTTATAAAACATGATGTTCTTGCTGATGTTAGTTAGTTGTTCTTCCGGCCTGTGTGCTGCCTGAATTGCTCCTGCCTTTGCAAACGCAGCGCTGATACTTGACCTGTGATCTGACAAATAAATTTTCCAGAACGAGAGAAGTCATTCGGCTGAATTTTTGATAACCCCGACCAGGCTCCAAATCTTGAACACGTATTCTTACATCTCCTTGTTTTCTGCTTCTATCTCTGCTGCCAAAAGTTCTTTCTACCAATCCAAAATTGAATCTTCATTTCTTAACCCCAAAAAACTCTACAGACCGTTCTCTCTTCTTCCCTTTTTGTCCAAAACCCTTGAACGTGCTATCTTTAATCAACTCTCCTCTTATCTCCACTGTAACAATCTCCTTGACCGTCAGGTTTCAGGGCAGGCCACTCCACAGAGACTGCTCTCCTTGCTGTCTCAGAGCAACTCCACACTGCTAGAGCCCCCTCTCTCTCTCTGACCTCTCTGCTGCATTTGACACGGACAACCACCAGATCCTTTTTTCCTCCCTTCAGGAACTTGGTGTCACAGGCTCTGCTCTCTCCCTTCTCTCGTCCTACCTCGACGGCCGCACCTACCGGGTAACCTGGCGAGGATCTGTGTCGGAACCTTATCCTCTTACTACGGGAGTTCCTCAGGGTTCCGTGCTGGGTCCCCTCCTGTTCACGCTTTACACCAACTCTCTTGGCGCTGTCATTCGCTCGCATGGCTTCTCTTACCACAGCTATGCCGATGACACCCAACTAATTCTCTCCTTCCCTCACTCGGACACCCAGGTGGCGGCTCGGATCTCTGCCTGTCTAACTGACATCTCTCAGTGGATGTCCGCCCACCATCTGAAAATCAACCCCGACAAGACTGAACTACTTCTCTTTCCCGGAAAAGATTCGCTTACCCAGGACCTGACAGTCAATTTTGGAAACTCCGTACTAACGCCCACTTTGACCGCTAAGAACCTCGGCGGCACACTCGACAGTCAACTCTCCCTGACTTCCAACATTACCGCGAGTACGCGATCCTGTAGATACACGCTCTACAACATCAGGAGAATACGTCCCCTTCTCACTCAGAAGGCAGCGCAGGTACTGATTCAGGCTCTTGTCATCTCCCGCCTGGACTACTGCAACTCCCTCCTGGCTGGTCTCCCTGCCACCGCCATTCGACCTCTGCAGCTCATTCAGAATGCAGCAGCTCGACTGGTCTTCAGCCTTCCAAAATTCTCCCACACTACTCCACTCCTCCGCTCTCTTCACTGGCTACCGGTGGCCGCCCGCATCCAGTTCAAAACATTGGTGCTCACGTACCATGCTGTGAATGGATCAGGTCCAGCTTACATCCAGGACATGGTCAAACCCTACATCCTAACCCGCACTCTCCGCTCTGCATCTGCAAAACTACTCGTCCCTCCCTCACTGAGAGCAAAACACTCGACTAGATCACGACTCTTTGCTGTCCTTGCTCCGAAATGGTGGAACAAGCTCTCTGACGACACCAGGACCGCAGAGAGCCTTCACATCTTCCCCCGCAAACTAAAGACACACCTCTTCAGACTCTACCTCGACTAAAAGACTAACAAAATGTAGCACTTAAATTGTACTTATAACGCCATTTATAGCAAATTGTAAATTGGCTTAGTTGAGGAAATTGCACTTTCTTGTTTCTTGTTCTTCTGAGTTTGTACCCTATGGTTGAATGCACCTATTGTAAGTCGCTTTGGATAAAAGCATCAGCTAAATGACACGTAATGTAATGTAAGGAGCTCCCTACCTAGAATGTCTTTGTTTTCATTCTTCAATTGTAGATCGATATGTCGTAATCGGCGCTCAGAGGGATGCATGGGGGGCGTGTTTTGCTACGTCGACCGTCGGCACCAGCCTCCTCGTGGAGTTGGCCCGTTCCGTCTCGGACATGGTGAAGAATGGTAAGGTTCTAACGTGAAATGTTTCCAGATGTTTTTGTTTGTTGCTTGAAGGGATAATACGATACGATTATCATTTAACGGCTATAGACGGAAGCCAGGATGTGCTTAGTCCAAATATAAAATTGATCAAGTCGCTAGGTTGCCACTTAATGCTTTTCTCATCTTCGTACCAGATGGTTTCAAACCAAGGAGAAGCATCGTGTTCGCTAGTTGGAGTGCTGGGGAATATGGGAGTGTTGGCGCCACCGAGTGGTTGGAGGTGAGAAGGATTTACCCAACTGTACTTCTCTGGATCAGCAGCTTTTATGGTGTAATCACTCTGATCGCTGCAGTGTTGTTATTTAAATATTTTTTTCCAAATTGTGAAACATAATGTATAACTGCAATCGTCTTCTCTTTAGGTGAAATATCCAGACAGTTCTTCGACACTCTACTCCCAATTTGCAAAGAGGAGCTTGGAGCCGAATGTGTAAGTGGAACCAGGCCGCCGGTCCGTTTGGTCTAGTCTGTGTTTGTACGTCACCACGACATCAAATCTGTTTTATTTTACCAGATTGGAGCCTTTTAAGCTGGATGATGCTGCTTATCCTTTCCTCGCTTTCTCTGGCATCCCCTCGGTCTCATTTGGATTCACCTCTGGTAACTTGGTGAGTCGTCCATCCTACCACAACTTGCATCAGTCTTTTTGAGCCAGTTTTGTAGCCACAGCCTGAGACCAGCTTTTACATTGAGCCATCACGTTAGTTTGTTCATCCCGCGGTCTAGTTTCTGCTCTGTAACCAACACCTTTCTTCCCCCTCTCAGGAATACCCGTACTTTGGCACAGAGCTGGACACCAGGGAGAAACTGAACGTGGCTGCGGGCAATCAGGTTCCTCAGCTGGCAGAAACGGCGGCTCGGTTCGCAGGTCACATGGTGTTGAGGCTGGTCCATGATCACCTGCTGCGTATGGACGTGATGAAGTACAACAATATTATCCGCAACCATGTTGTCTAGACCAACACCAAAGTCTATTCTGTTAAGAGGGTGAGTGCCGGGTTTTTTCTTTCTGGCATGGATTGAACTATTTGATTTGTTACCTTTTCAGAATCAATTGCAAATAAATACTACATTCAAATTCACGCTTTGAAAGTAGACAAGTTACTTGTTTGTTTGTTTTTTAAATTGATTTTATTGCGGATATGTTGCAACCCAAATGGTTGCCATGTGTGCTTGCAGATGCAGCCCCAGCTGTTGCCCAAGGCCTTGACTGTGCAGTGGTTAATCTCGGCCTCCGGCTCCTACGGACGCGTGGCTCAGTGGCTGGTGACGGACATGCAGAACAGTGACCTGGAGGACATTGAGATGTGTCGCATCATTAATGACCGCATAATGGCGTTAAGACCTTGACTCGTAAAGTCCTAAAACAAAGTTATAGCCTCAAGTTTTATAGCTACTATGTAGAACATGTATTCATTGTAGCTAGTTGTGAATATGTCATGTACCTCCTTGACCTTTTGCAACATTTGGTTGAAATGGGTTAAATCTGTGAGGTCGGCAGCTCGCTTTGCCTTCTACACTAATCCACGCTCACACAGTCCGGATGAAGCACGTCACCACAGTTCACGAGTATTCACATAAATTCAAAGTTGTCTTTATAACTGTTAATGTTGCTTAGATGTGTATAAATATCTTATCTTTGAGAAAAACGTCTTAACTGACTTTAAAAATCTATTCAAATACTTATTTCAGAAAGTAGCAAAGGAATCAGACGCCTTTTATAATTAATAAAAGGCTGTTAAAACCAATACCAGTGACTTAAGAAAGCTTTACTAACGTCCCCCTCATCCTGCTGTTCTCTTGACTCTGCAGGTGGAAAGGAACCTCCTGTCGCCCTACGTGTCTCCCAGAGACAGCCCGTTCCGCCACATCATGCTGGGCTCCGGCCCTCACACCCTCAAGGCTCTTTCCAACCACCTCGATGGCCTCAAGAACGACCACCCCGAGTCGGACGCCGACCTCTTCCGCAACCAGCTGGCCATGGCGACAATTGAGAAAATTATACAATTGAGGCTTCGACTGAATGGAATTTTAATTTCATTGTTATCACTCAACACTTGAGTGTTTTTTTCTGTATTAAAAAGGAATGAATGAAAAAAAGCAGTGTCTTCCATAATTATGACAGTTATATTGTCGAAATGACAAAAGCAGCATCTGCTTAAAAAGTGTACATGTTGACCAACAGTGATTTCCATAACGTCTGTACATAAACGTTAGGGTGCTACACACTGCACATGTGGTCTGCAGCTTTAGATCCCTTCGATCATTACTTCAATGATCCTCATGTTCTAACCCCAAAAAACGCTTTTCTATCTTCTCCAACCTCCTCGAACTCCCCGAGTCCTCCTCCCCCCTCCCCCTTTCTTCCAGGAGACTTTGTCAACTATTTCACCAAAAGAACAGCTGACTTACGCTCCTCTTTCTCAAACCCTCCTCTTATCACTTCATATTGCCCTCGCTTCCCTCTTTCGCCCCCCTGTCTCCTAACCAAGTTCTTACCTTAGTAACCTCTGCCCTCTTGAGCCCATTCCATCCCATGTCGTGCATCCCGACACATTCTGTTGCTCCTGACCTTCTTCCTTTCTTCACCGGTCTCATCAACAATGCAACTCTTGAACGTGCAATCTTTAACCAACTCTCCTCCTATCTCCATGGTAACAACCTGCCTGACCCCCACCAGTCAGACTTCAGGGCAGGCCCCTCCACGGAGACTTTTCTCTGAGGAAAAAAGTAGTTGGTATGACATAAAATCAAAAGTGCAAAGCATTTCTGTTTATTCCATACTATCGTCCCCATCTTTTACCAGATGGTGAAGACAAAGTGTATTCAGCTTTTAACTGCCACCTTTAATCTCTAACTGAAGTGTGGCAGTTCATAAAGGTTAATGTTTGCATTTAAATAAGGGGAGCTGTTAAAGGGCCCAACGCCTTTCCAGTCTAAACTGAAACGCTTTTTGAAAAGGGAACTGTAAACAGAATCCAATCATTTTTTCTTCCTTAGAACGGACCTCCGTTAATAACACTTTTTTCTACTACTTAACCATGATTTGAATATCTAGTAGCCTACAGTTTTTTTGTAGAAGTTGTAGCCACAAAGGGCAGCAGTATTGCATATTTGTGGCTTGTTGCTTTAAGCGTGGGCTGAAGGCCTGAATGTGCAGCAGAGGTGTGAGAAAGAAAGAGAGCTCTCACTTTGCTTCAGTTTCCTGCTGCAGCAAACGAGCGGACTGGTGGATTAGATGAGAAGAAACAAGGACTATTGGGAAATATTTAAATGTTACCAAACAGCAACTTGAAAATGAAATCCGCTTAAAGTGCGCGAATGGAAATATTACAACACCACCAAAGCTGCATTAGCTTTACTTCGAGCTATTCCTGTTTTGCTTACAAGCTAAATAAAGATGAATAAGTGAGCAGTAGCCGGTTGTAAAAACAAAACCGATTCAACAAACTGCATTTGCAGACAGAAACAAATGCAAGAAAAAAGATCCAGCCACGATTCCGTTACCGAAGTGATCCGCCCTACGACACATACGATCTTTGAGTTGTACACAGACGGCAAAGCGCTGACTCCGGCGTCACTTGCGCTCAAATCCCGGGTGTGTTTTCGGACGGTCAGCTGTGCAAGTAAAACCATTGGAGACGGGCCGGTGCAAACTTAATTCAGTCTCCCTCACAACGAGACCGAGGCCATTGAGAGCCTCTACAGATGGCGCGACTTCTGAACATGTAAGCCGGCGTTTTGAGGCGTGAAACACACCGGAACAGGAGGTGACAGCGGTTGACAGGAGCTGAGATTGACAGGTAGGGACACTCAAAAGAAAGCCTTTTGAGATGGGACTTTAACACACAATTTACAAAGTTCTCAGCCGTGTGTGGAAATTAAAAACCTGGTCAGAACATGCCAATTTGTGTTGTAACTTGTCATACGACTTTGTTATTATTTGGATATATGTGTGTATGCATGTATGTATGTATGAATATATGTGTATATGTATGTGTGTGTGTATATATATATATATATATATATATATATATATATATATATATATATATATATATGATGGTGATTGGACATGTCTGATGGATTGAGAGGAAGCTGTCAATCAATACTGGCTCGATTCCCAGCGAGCAGTTAGAAATGTGGGCAGCATCGACTCCCCCACAGGAAGTCCCCCGTTCACAGGAGTGTTGTTCCGTCTTCTCAGTCAAATAACATTTGACAGTTTCTGGCTAATTTACCTGAAGTTATTGTTCCGTGTCCAAAACCATCTAGTAAACCAAGATGTTGACCTGTTCCTTCACTTTGATAATAGTGGGCAGTAAGTGCTCAGTCGAGCACGCAGGTGTATTGATCTACCCCCCAAAATAAATGCACTATTAATTATTTTAAAGTACAATTTTTAGGGCTTTATACCCACAGGCGCACCAGTTTTAAGTTGTTCCTTTTGGAAAGGGATCAGGTGATTGTGTACGTCTGATAATGTCCCTCCAACGCACATCTACCGGTAACTCATCAAGATTAAAGATTCAGTTTAAAGTATTTGCAAATGAAGATCTATGTTACATGGGGATTTGTTCTACCCCTGTGTGCCTCACACGCTCTGTAGATGTGTGGGTGTGGGCTGGTTTTCCTCCGTAGGTGAGAGGAGGTTGTGTTTCACTCCTCTCCCCTCCTGCACAGCGTCTCGTCTTCCTCATTGCAGCTCGGCTTTGTCTTCAGGAGACACTGTGGTGGCCTCTCCTGGTTCATCTCTTATTGCCATCGTGAACTGATCATGGCTGCGTTACGATTCTGTGTCTTCTCGAAACGTCATAGAAACAAAAGTATTGTTACTAAACTGATTCAGTTGAGTTTCCCCGTTACTCAAGTTTGGAGTAACCCTTCAGAATTTGTTTATGAAAACACACATTTAGTTGATGTCCCCACAGTGTTGCATGCGGGGGAGTATTTTATTGCAACCATATTTTCCATGAAAACAAACAGGCTTTTTGGTTTGTTTGCCAGTCCAGGGGAGCACATGTGACCTCAGCTCTTTATTGAACCTCAACCCTGCTTACATTTGGGTTATAAATATTTTAGGAGGTGTATTTTTTTCCCTTTGTGCCCCCTGCTGAGCCGCATGAACCGCTGTTCTGTGACGTAAATCAGCCGTGGCTCTGCAATGGAAAAGGCAGCAGGGGCCGGCTTTCCAATCAGCCTGACGAACCGCGATTAATTATAAGCTGATTTAAAATAGACAAATGGAATGGAAGGCTTTGTGTCGGGATATTGTTTTCATAAGGCTGGAACGTGACCAGATCTTGGTAAAATCTGACTGTAAACTTGTTTCCTCATCCCGCCTTCCATACAGTTTGATCGTGGGAACACATTTGGCTTTGTTTTGGCGTGTAAGCCTTATAGGCAAAGGATCACTTGGTCACCATTTAAAGTGATGTAGCCCCTTCACCTGATGAACCGACGGCATCTGAACAGCAGTCCAACATTAAATGAGTGGCCCTGCAAAAAAAACACAAAAAAGAACCAATCTCATGGTAAGACAGACGTGTTAGTGAGCGAGAAAATAGTTGGGCCCGTTATTGAGAGATGAGGGGTTAACGGAGCCGCAAAGTGCAATTCATCCTCTGGGGGAACATGAATGTTTGTACAGAATTTCATAATAAGACCGACGGCAGATGTGAGTGGCGTAAGCGGGAAAAAAGTCCGGGAATTGTTCGAGTCGTGAGTATTCGTCCTCTGGGGACCATGAACTGTAAAACCAAATATTGTGGCAATCCACCCGGCAGCAGCAGTTGAGATATTTGAGTGTTGGACGGAGCCAAATTCCATCATATTCAGTCGCCGTGTAGGATAATAGACACGGATGTTACTCACTTAATACGCACTGAGGTTGTGCACTGGACCTCAGTCAGACCAGAGAGCCGCTCCTCTACTTTAAACGTTTTTTTTGTGGTGTTTTAAGTGACCTTTGTGCTCGACTGTGTTTGTGCTGTTAATTTTGAGGCCTTTTTTGGACTCTCCAGGGACCCGGTGGTGTTTTTTTGTTTTTTTTGCGGCTCTACGTGCCAGGGTGTGGGTGCCACCGCGGCCCGCCTGCCGAACCGAGACGCGTCACAAGGGATGAGTGAAATCCGCCGGTGGTCGAGCGTTGACGCCCTCTGGCAATAGCAGCCACTAATGCATCGACGGTGCGCGTCGATACCCGAGTAACATCCAAGGGGCTATTTGTCACGCTTCACACGCCCCACGTGATCTCACTCGTAATGGCTGCGTGTTTCTGTGCAGGACGATGGCTTTTCTCTGTGCAATTGTCCTTTAATTTCTGACAAAGGGCTCATTTGTAGGAAGAATAGCTCGGCGTTTCTCCTTGTCGTGAGCTTCTCTGTGGGCTCCAAGTCAGCTACTAGCTAGGTGGTGGGTGGAACGTGTCCTTGTGTGAATGGCGTTGATTCATTCATACGGGCCCCTCCTGCTCGGGGGGCCCCAGGCATTCCTACCACAGCCCCCAGACCTGGCTGGAACAATGTCAACTCAATTCACATTAAGCATTGAGCGTCGCTTCCGGTTGTTGCCGGCTGTAAATTATTGATCCAGCGGGCTACAGTCAAATGGAGGTCCATGTTCTTTTCATGACTTAATGATCATGAATTGTGCTCCAAAGGTGATCATGCCCTAGATAAATGGAGAAGAAAAGAAATGACTGCATTCATTTAAAGTTTGCCAATCGTGTGAGAAGATGACTCATGTCTGTGGTTCACTCGGTTCAGGTGTTGGCAGCACGTTGGTCACGTGTTTGCGGTGTTGAGTGGGTGGATGGTTGCCGTCCGCTTCGTCTCCAAATATGTAACGTTTCAACGGCAGAGAGAATAACTTACGCCATTAAGGTACGCTTTTTAAAATCATGTTTATATGTAACATGTTTAGCATGGGGAGGGGGGTTATCAAGTGTGTCTACAGCAAGTTATCCAACAGGATATTGTCTTCTTACAGTTGAACCTCTGTCGATAACGTTGAGTTATCACTATTTATTCTTAGTTATATTGGGTCTATTCTTGTCACTTTTTCCCCCCAGTGGACACTGTGCTCTGGTTTCCTGTGCTTATAATTAGCCGCTGTGTTCAAACTGGGTGCGTGCGTGCAGGGGGCCTTCCTGGGAAGTTGAGCACTTTTTTTTTTTTTCTCATTTAAAACCATATAAACCTCCCAGAGGGCTCCGGCTGTCTTATCACGATATTAGGTCTCTCTGTGGCTGCACAAAGACCCACGAGACCCCCCCCACACACACACACCCCCCGCAGCCTCTCGGGGACAGTAGAGCGACTCGGAACCCCCCTACCAGCAGATCTGCCGTTGGAGGTGAGGAGGCAAGGTCTCCTCCCTGCTTTATGGAAGCAAATGACATACAACACAGCGTTGTTGTTTTTCTTTCCACTCTAGTCTTTCAAGCCATGAATCGTGCTGATGGTCTCGCGTCAACCAATGGACGAGGATGAGGTCATGTGAGTGTGCACCGTCGTCGCAGTGCTGCCGACTTGTAGCTGGGCGAAATCTCACCTCGATGGACTGGGGGCCTCTTCTGCACGTGGTTGACCTCCTGTCATCAACCTGAGAGGCGTATCTACGGCGCCCGGAGCAGGAAACGGAGCCGAAGCTCAACAGCTCAAATATTGCAGGTAGGAAGAATGTGTGTCAGTCAACAGCTCAGTTTTCTGTTTTCTTGTGTTTCTGCCTCAGTGTGCACAGTTAAAACACTGCCTGTGTGTGTGTGTGTGTGTGTGTGTGTGTGTGTGTATGAGCTATGCAGACATGAGGTCATACCAAGCAGTGACTGCACTTTGCTCAGAGGGGGGACGTCCACAGACCGGTTCTCTGTGTGTCTGAATGGAAGCCATTCACTTTGCAAGGGAGCAAATACAGAGGATGATGTCATTTCGGCTTGTTGGTTTTTGGTGTGCGAGTTAAAGATATCACGGCAGGATGATGGAGGAAGAGGGATGGGGGCTATTATGGCATGCGGTTGACCCGTTCCTCTTTCATCACGCGTGTGTTTGTCCATCCGAAAGAGGGTTTGCCTCTTTGTGTTTATTTCTTTATTTGCGGGACGCAGTCACCACGCGCTTAGAAAAAAAAGACGGCTCTCAGCTGACGGGGCGGAGGAGGAGGAAGTTGGCCTCACACTGTTCTCTGCTCACCTCAGACCACAGAAACGCAACCCCCCCCTCCCCCCCGAGGAGCCGTCCTGGTGGAGTGTGCGTGCTACGTTGGCCCGCGAAGTGTAGGAACGTGCCCAACGTGCCATTACACTGCAGCTTTATGTATGCTTTTTGTTTGGCGAAAGACCACACAAATGAGGGTTGTGTGCTTATCAGAGGCAGCCCATCAGGGTTTCTCGTCTGTAAACGGCTCTATAACTGCAGCAGGTGGAGCAGCCGTGGTTATTGATGCTTATCACACCGTCCGACTTCCTTCCTCCAGCAGAGGGGTCTGATTTATGAAGGAAAACATGGTAATATGTGGTCTCACTAACAAAAGATTGGGAATGCGGAAGTATATTTACCTTGAGTACTGAACTTAAGGCTCAAGGTATGATTTTGAGGTAGGTGTACTTCATTTGAGTATTTACATTTTCTGCCACCTCATTCAATTGTAGAAAAAAACATTTCACTGTGTTCCCCACTTTGTTTGTTCACAACTATATAGTTACTTCTCAGATAAATATGTTTGAATATAAGACATGAAATAATATATTGTGAAGCCGTATATGGTTCATACCCGCTACAACATTTAAGTGCTATACTGAAAGAATAATGCCTATAATAATATTCCAAAATGTTAGGATTATTTCCATTTCAGTTTGTGATGTTCCAAAAATGAATCAGTGCTTTATGTTACTTGTCGCTATACGCACGTATTTTAATAGAAAGTGTAACAGTGGAAAGGTAGACGAGACAGAGGAAGTCTGAGGATGGAGGAAGCTCCCAGAATAGCGCGAGCGACCACGCTGTGGAGATTGTCTCTTGAATACTTGGAGGGCCTCGGGGCCCTGGCTGACAGAGGAGAGGTCGGAGGAAAAGGAGCCTCTGGGATTCAATGTGTGTGTGTGTGTTTGTGGGGGGGGGGAGAGGACAGCGTTATTTTAACCCGGAGCTAACATCCGGCTGTCACATAACACCCTACAATCTACCTGCAGGCCAGTTGTCACACGCCTACTGTTCTCCCCCTCGCCTCCTCTTCCATTATCCTTTCACTTTCACCGCTCCACACAGATACACAGGTATTTCATTACCAGAACCCCTGAGGACGGAAGGTCTGCCTGTCACTTCCGCGTGTGTTGTAGGCATCAGATTTCCTGATTAAGTGTAATAGATCACCTTGTGGCGATGTGACTCCCAGCCACTTTCCAAAGTTTCACATTCAAGCTCTGTTCCTACATCTGAACGGTAGGATTTAAAGTACTGGCCATTGTGTACGGGACTTTATTTTTGGCACAATGTGGGGAAGATGCGGTCTAATATAAAACAAATTATCCAGCTCTATATGGTTGAAGTACAATATAACCCTATATTATAATATAGTAGTCATTTTATACAATGCTTTCAAGGAACTATTGGTATACAGCAAGAATTCTGCAAATGTTAAGAAGTTAAGAAGTCTCTTAGGTCTATATCACCATTTCTACTCCTGCACTAATTTAACCCCTTTTTAAAAACGTTTTGCTGCACGAGGCTCATGCTTCTCTCCCTACTCAGTGTTTATACCACGAACAATTTTCACAAATATAAGTAACCCTCACGATTAAAAACACAAATGGTTGCATAAATATTTCATCTCACAAATGCTAACAGGCACCGTAGTGGAAGTTCAGGGTCCACACACACACTTCAACGCCAGGCAGCACTGAGCCACCGTTTGTTTGCTTGATAGCGTGACTGACGCACACGCGCACACACACACGCTCAGGGACACCGGGTGCAGTGTGTAACGTCGTCTCATATCTGTTGTCACTGTGCTCAATCACTCACTGTATCTGGCTGGAGGGGAGCGGAAGAGCAGCTTACATATTGACCAGGCCTACGCACGCACACACACACACACGCACACGCACGCACGCACGCACACACGCACGCCTGTGCAGACAGTGCTGACGCCAATGGTGCAGTTTTCCTCGCAGGTCGGTGACAGAGAGTAGTTTAACTGCAATGGAAGATGTGATGAGTTGCCGAGGCTCTTTAAAGTTTGCAGGGCGGGACATCGATTTAGCGTGTGTTCTGCTTTAAATGCCGTCTCTCAGGCTGCTTCTGAGGCTTTGGCAAGTTTGTTAAATCATTAAACTGGCAGTTCCCTTTTTGTCATGGCACAGTAGAAAGGTAAACCGCAGACTTCATGCATGCAGATACCAGTCCAAGGAAGTTTTTCTAAAAATAGAAGAGATCAGGACTGAAAGCGGCAGACGGACGTCACAAAAACATTTATTAACATCTAACCTGGCATCGGTATAATAAGGAGCAGTCTGCTACCTTTTGTCATCTCATCATTTACTTTCGACTACCATATTCACTTAAATATTCTTAAAATAATGAATAGTATGTTTTCTCAATGAACTTCAAACACTTGATATGTCAGTTTTTATTGCATTGATTCAACAATTCCAATCAGAATCAGCATCTTATCAACTTCATAAATAAGTGTGCATTTTAAAATGTCCCTGTTGCTCCGCTTAACACCTTTTTTTTCCCACCAGCATTCCTCAGATTAACGCCAACTCTTGATTTTTGACCTCTGTATAATTCACGTAGAATGCAGAGAGGACTTTTCACAAACATTATTCAGCATGACAATGTAGATTAATTACAATACTGATAGACATCATGTAGATTGCAGTGCACAGTTTATATAGAAGGAGTTATATCTGTGCAGTGATTCCGGGACAGCGGGGTCAACATGCGAGCCGAGGGTGTGAATGGCTCAGTATGCGCAGTGTCACTTCAATGTCACACACACACACACACACACACACGCACACACACACATAGACGCACATGCAGCCGCTGGCGTGATGCATGACCAGGCAACCAGATGGCAGTAAAACACAGAGCGCTTTAGCTTCCGAGGATTTGCATACCCGATCGTCTGTGACCTTGGCACATACGCACTGACAGATTATGTGAGACATTGGGTCCCTCGTCCCGGCCTCCTGTCCCCCAAATCCTCTCCTTTGCTTCCCCGTATGGCCCCGTGTTACCCTGCTGGCTTTAGCTCACCCTCTTAAATCCCACCTGTTTAACCCAGAAGGACAGTGGAAAGCAAACACCACACACACACACACACACACACACACAGTCTCACGTGCCCCTTCGACACTTCCTGGAAAGACGGCGTGCATGCTGAGGATGGATTATAAAGCGTGGAGGTCTCTCTGTCATTCTCCGTCCTACTCACATAAAGACTTGCATGCATTCTCACATTCATCCCTCTATCACACACATACAAACACACACAAACACGCACACACACACACACACACACAGACACACACACACCTCTGTCCACAGTGGATTTGTTCAGCGTTCCTGTTCGACTGGTTCAGCCGAAGTGGAAATCTTTCTGGGAAAGGGGTGATGAGAGAGGATTTGTTGAGGATAATAACTCTCCTCACAACAACTCTGCATGAAACGTTGTGTGTTTCCACAGTGGATGGAAGTCATTATGGCGTTTGACTTTTTGACTCCACGCCCACCCATGATTACTCCCAAGTGAGCCTGCAGGGCTGGACACGAACCATCTTTCAACCTCACGAGCTTCTCAGTTTCACTTACAGTGAATCTAGAGAGTTTAATTGAAGACCAGATTGATTGAATAATGGGGGAAAAAACATTTATTCAACCAAAGTATTCCATTTACAATGAAATGCATATGAACCAATAAAAATCCAAACTCTCTCATTTGGGTAGCTGAAATGTTTGGCATTTGAAGACTTTTCGATTGACGGTGTATTCAGCCACATCACATTCGAACCGGAAGCGGTTTCTCAGCACGTGGTGAAGAATTAGGGAGAGAAGTGGTTCTGTTTGGACGGACAGTTGTGGTTTTTGTAGATGGCGGCGACAAGAGGCGGAAACAAAATCACCGTTTCTTCACCCCGACCACAGCTTCATCAGCTCTCCCACTGGACGATGACCACGTTCGTTCACCACGGCAACCTTTTACCAGTCCGCCCACAGCCCGGCAGCATAGCCATCGGCCAATCACGACGCTTCTTTTCATATCGTGGATGTAGTGATTCATCAGATAGGATGTGTGGCCCCGAGTGAGGTGAGGTCATGGCTGGGTGTTGCAACCACAACCTCTAAGGAAACATATTTTATGTACATGCTTTTAAAAGCCGCAGGTGGAGATTTGTCAAAAGATTTCCTTTGAAATCCCACCAGATTCCCATTTTCATTTTTGCTTGCCTTTGTGATTATTTATCTTTAGTTTGTTTCCGCTACTAGTAGATACATTATTTGGCAACATTAAAGAAAGTGGTAGTCTGGCGATACTTTTAATATTTGTGTTGACGTGGGTCAGTGTGGCGGACTTGGCCAGTGTCTTATTTTCTTAGACGAGTGTAGTTTAGAAAGAAAAAGATAGAGGTATTCAGCTCTCACATTGGATTTAATATGACTAATAACAAAACACCGAATCTATTCAAATAAAAATTTGCCCATTAATTTTCCTGCGATTGCCCAACTGAATAATCCCTAAACCGTTGCAGCTCTACCATTATTTTTTTCATTTGTCTCTTGTGAAGTTCCCCAATTTCATGGAAGGGCAGTTGGTGCTGTACATCACACTTATCTAATAAAGAGTATGTAAATGTAAGTGTCACACACACACACACACCCTAACCTCCGCGCTGTCCCCTCCCTACCCTGATTATATTTCCACGCCATGTCTTATTTAGGCCTTTTGCCTTTACCTTTTGAAAACAATTTTACAAACAAAAATTGTAAGATATTGTACATGATTATATTTACTCGGCCTCGCCCTCCCGTCGTACTGAACCACCATACGGTCTGTAATGGAGCGTGTTAACTTCACCACGGGGAGGCGGTGGGCAGCAGTAACCCCACATGACATCACGGCTCCGCCCTGCTCCATTTGTCGCGGCCTCCATTGGCCGGGATGTCGCCACTGTGTTTTTCCGTCCCTCCCCTTCTGCTCCTCTGGTCTACTGTCGGTCTCCGGGTACAATGGCTCCTGTGACTCGTGCAGTTTTATATTCAATTTGGTACCGTTGGATGTTTGATTGCGTAACTATGTTCAGCAAAGCTGCAGTGGTTGTGGTTGTGTGTCCAACAAATGCACGGGTATTATTACAAATATGGCCAAAATGACATTCATGGCTGATTTCATCAATATTAAAATTAGGATTATTTATCCGGATTAATCACAGATTTTTTTTTGACGAAATATTTGCATTGCAGTCTCATATTTCAATACAGAGTAATTATTTCCCTAATATGTTGTACTATATTCCTGCTTATAAGAAACAATATTAGAAAATGGACATTGCAACTTTATTTTTTCTCTGTGTCTTCAGTGGTTTGTTTCAGTTGTTTTGTCTTTTAACGGGGGCGTGCGCATGTTTGTGTATTTACCGTATCGTGTGACAGCCGGCTTTCCAAGGAGCAGATTCATTAGCGGAGGAGAGGAAGAGGAAGAGGAAAGAGCCAATGCAGCTCAGCGGGCCGTGAATAAGCGGCCTGAGGACATCGATAGAGCTGAAATGAAGTCAGGGAGAATAAAGGGTGCTGGAGAATGAGTGGACAGACACAAATGAGACGAGGGAGAAGCAGAAAGTGTTTAGGATGGAAAGGGGGAAGGATGAAGAGTGACTTCAACGGAAGGGTGGAAGACATATGAGTCACGGCATCGGTGGTTTGACTGGAATGTTGCTAATCACACTGCTCCTTGGGAAAGACCAGGAGGCACACACGTGTGTACACACACACACACTGTTCTTTTATTCTATTTATCCCTGCATCCAGATGTCCACGCAGCAAGGATCCAGATGGCCTGGATACCCTGTCTATACTGGGGAGGTGCTACTGACACACACACACACACACACACACACACACACACACATGCTACAAAGCAGCATGGCTGGGTTTTTCTCCTCTCAGAGGGAGGATTAACTCTCCTCATTAGGGCTCCCCCACCTCTCAGCATCATCTCTCCTCCCCCTCCCTCCCCCCCCCCGTAAACCTGCTTCGTCGTCATTGGCTGCCTCCATCAGAACCAGTGTGACTGTATTGCCGTGACTACAGGACACAAGGGAGCCGGGAGGAGATGGATTTGGTCGATGTTGCCACGGTAATAGAAAATGCATCCCGCTCACCGAATCATTCAGGCGGTGCCGGGAAGAAAAAAAAAATCAAGTGGAGTGAAAGCGGGTTAAAGAGTGAGGGACTCAAAGGAGGAGAGGAGGTAAAAAAAACAATAACAACAGCGAGGGATTAGGCAACAAACCGAGCAATCAGAAAGTCCATGTAGGACAAAGCGGCATAAAAAATCCCCCCGGACTTTAGCTGTGATTGTCAGAGCTGAGCTGCCAGTTCGATTGGACAGCTGTTCAAGATCTGAATGTATGTGTGTGCGTGTGTGTGTGTGTGAGTGTGTGTGTGTCTTGGGTGGGAGGGAAGCGGCACACAAAGGAAAGATGAACAGGTGAAAAATGGTAAACAGATCCTGTGCGATCCCTCCCCTTCACTGGTGAATGAGACGAGCTGGGCGGTGTGAATTATAGACAGAGAGAGAGGAAAAGGGGAGAGAGAGAGAGAGAGAGGTTGCTGGACCGGAGGAGCATGCGTCAGCAGTAAAGCTGGGCGAGAGAGCAGAGAAGAACAAGGTGGAGAGCGAAGTCGACGGACAGATTGAGGCTGGAGGTTATTACTGTGGCATGAGATGAGAATACAGAGATTGAGCCTGCTGGATTTTTCACCTCCTGTGCCACATTGCTGCTTCATCCCAAAAAGCTCCATTCCCACTGCAGCAGCTTCCCCACATGGGATTTCCTTTGCTGGGGAGGACGGCAACAACCACAACCAGTAAACCAATCAGGGGAACACCTCTAATGCTCCCTTACGGTTTAAGCCATATTTGAAGGAAGCGGACTCTCTTCTTTCTTTCTCCAGAAGAGGGGGACTACGTTCATTCTGCATCAAAAATTACCATCTGCAGCTCGCCAGAGGAATGCACGACTGAAAGCTGTTCCCATGAGGACAAACACCTGTGCATTGGCCGGACGGGCGTGGGAGCCCGACCATGGGGGACACGGCGGACTACCAGAGACTGCAGGAGGCGTCGGACTCCGACTACCAACGGCTGCCCGGCAACGACGAAGAGGTAGACGTCTAGTTTCCTTCTTCATCGCAGTGGTCCGGCCACACGTGAGCAACATCCGCAGGGGTCATGGATGGAAAATATGTTTCTCTTATTGTAGAAAACTGCACTGTGTGTTTATTTTTTGCGGTGTGAACTACAACAAACAGGGTGGCACATTTTCTAGTGTGTGCAGATGGGAATTTAGATGTACAACATTTGTGTGTGCGAGTGTGTGTGTGTGTTTGTTTGTGTGTTATTTTGTGTGCCGTCTGGGATTTTCACAACAGCGTTTTTTCAGATCAGTTTGCGTGTTCATGTTGCGTGACGCTTTATCCCCGGATTGCACCTGAGACCTTCCTGCATGTCACCGCTGGAATAGAAATACCAAAACGAACGATGGCTGAATTCCATTTAGCTTCTTCAGTTTCAGGATCCCCTTATTGTGCCGTGACTGAGGCGCTTGTGCAGAACACACCCATTGTCAATGGCACTACAGCAACACCTGTGCTTTTTAAAGAACGAGAACGGCCTGCTTTTAAAAAATGACCTCTATTAGTGTGAAAATAATAAATGAGAATGAAAATGAGTGTGTTGGCAGGAGTAGCCTGCCCCATAATGTAAGTGTTGTGTGATTCATTCATAGACGTTGGCATGCAGCCAACTGTATTTCTTTGCAACGGGGACCTCGAATTTATTGTATTGTTTAACCTTCCACCTCTTCCACATACCCTGTGATGCACGGATGGGCTTCACCTGTCTTTCGGATCGGATCGGTCCAACAATGCTTTGCTTTTTGATAACACAAGACAGAGAGGGGGGGAACACATACAAAAAGGTTCCCGGTCGCATTTAAAAAGTGCACATCGGCTCATTGGTTATTGTTTGTGCACTGACACTTGTTTCAAACGCTTTTGACAAACACTCCTGGCTCTGCTCTCATCCCTCTCTGACCTCTTCCCAAGCAGGTCAAAAAACAACAACATCAGTTTTGAGCACCACAAGGGATGACTGTGTGCGGCGTTTAGGGTCTCTGTGCTAGTTTAGTGGGGTTAAGCCAGTGGACGCTGCAGCTGTCAGATCAGATCATTGCATTTCTACAGCTGCGGCCTCGTGCTGAACACAGGGGGAGAGGGGGGGTGGGGGGCGATCCGCTTGTAGCCACTTCCATGGGAAAGAAATATGAGTAAGAGATGAACTGAGGAGGCGCTAAGAGGAAGGAGGATGGAGTGAGCTTAGAGTCTGCCGACTCCCTCCATGTACACTTGATTGTTTGACCTCAGCAGACCTTCATGTTTAATACAGAGCTACCTCTGATATGCTTCAGAGCTTTAAGAGGATTAGCGGGCTTCAACCAGAACGGTGCTTAGCATCCACTGTATATATATGAAAATGATAAATATTGTGCCTCTCATTGCAGCGCATATTGTGCTCTGTGGGAGGTCAACCGTCTTTGACCCACTTGTTTCTCTAACGCCCTCCTTTCCCCTCTTAACCCGCTTTAGGGGATCAGAGAAGAGATTGCTCAGGGTGGGTGTGTGTTTTGAGGGTGCAGGCGACGTCGGGAAGCATTAGTGGGGGGTTGTTTTGGTCGTCTGGCATTATGCATATTACCACAAGGGGCCACATATGTCAGACGTTTGCCTGGAAAACATTCAGGCTGAAAGAGTTACTGTGAGATCAGGAATAACGTATCTCTGTCTGTGCATGCAGGCCGCGTCAGAGGCCTCATCTGTGTGTCTGTACAGTTATTTTGCTGGCCCAAGTGAAGAGTTATTCACCCAAAGTTAAAGTTCCTTGTAAGAGGGATTACTGTTGTTTCTTCTTCTACTTCTTCCCACTTCTCTGTCGTTTTTTTTTAGCACACAGCCTCAAACCGCAGATTAATGTTTTGCCACCAAAAGGTTGCTACTTATTTTAGAAATGCTCTAACAGCGTGTCCACTAAGCTATCTTAATTCCCAAATCTGTACGTCAGTGTGAATCCAGCCGAGTGCATGCCTCTGCATGCCGCTGTCTGTGTACAGTGGGCATCGTATTACAGAATCAACCTCTGTGTGTGTGTGTGTGTGTGTGTGTGTGTGTGTGTGTGTGTGTGTGTGTGTGTGTGTGTGTGTGTGTGTGTGTGTGTGTGGACATTATGCAGACCTCACACAGTGCGTTTGTTCTTCATAATCATATTAGCCAGCAAGCCTCTAACTTGATGCCGATTCATCATACTACAATCACGGTCAGACGTTTAACTTGGCCTAGGCCTCCATTCATTGTCCAGGGGAACAGCCTTTGGGTCATTCGACTGTGTGTGTGTGTGTGTGTGTGTGTGTGTGAACGACATGGAAAGCGAGAGAGAGATGGAGGCCAGATAGTAGCAGTCTGCTTCATTGGCAGGCCCAAGTGAAGAGTTATTCACCTAAAGTTAAAGTTCCTTGTAAAACAAACCACCCTTTTAATTTCTTCGACAAATAACAGCGCGAAAATAATTCAAACTTTCCCCGGAGGATATAACTTCCTCCGTCTCAGGACCCTCGCGTCAGTACAGGAGCATCCTCAGGGGGGGGATCCTTCTCCCAGGATGGACACAAGTGCAGGAGGATGTGTACAGGAGGAACATTAAATGAGGCATAAAGTGCCCCGACATCACGGAACCACCCTCGCCGCATCCTGAACACTCCCATCACACCACTGGGGCCCCCTGGTGGAGTCATAGTGAAGCTGCGCGTCGACTGAATGACCATTAATCTTATCGGCATAATCTCCTTAGTGAAGGAGGCAGCTGACGGGACCGCGGGGGCATTCCTTCCACTGATTAAAATGCTGCTACACGCACAACACTGTCACACATTCTGCTCTTAATGTACGTCCCACATGTCATTAACACACACACACACACCTGCTTAACTAGCACATTGTTTTTATAGTGCAGTAGTTTAAGAGCCAGCCATAGGCTTTTTGTCCAGCTCCCGATTGATATACGATCATAGTCATGCGTTGTCATAGCAATTAGGAACATCTCGTGGTTAAAGGGAGGATCACGTGGACTTCGTTGATGGTGTAACTCTCTTCATGGTTGTGTGTGTGTATGTGGGGGGTGGGGGGGCGTCACATTCTGTGTGCTCACTTGATGATTTAGAGCCGGATTGGTGACATCACCTCAGCGTCTGAGTTCACTGAGTCCGTGAGGCGTCCGCACCAGAATCTCTTGAGACATCGGTGTTTGGAGCCAGCTCGCTCCCTCAGCTGCTCCTCCCTAAAACATTTGTGAAAGCACTTGAAAAAAAAAGAAAAGAAAAGTGAAACAAGCGTAAGAAGCGCTGCTCTCTGACCGAAGGGGCTCTACATCGGTCAGAAATAGAAAATCTACCCAGTGGGTAAATATTATGAGCAAACGGGACATGGCGGTCCGTCCTCTTTACGGGTGACTACTGTCGAGGTCAAAGCTGTACAGCAGGAGACAGAGAAGCTCCTCCAGCATCATGTAGATCTTCTCTGTACTCCTTCTAATGGAGCAGTTTATAGTGAAACTGAAGTCGAGGATCCCCAGAAAGCCGTTTCCTCATTTGGTCAGGTGTTGTTTTTAGAATACCAAACACGGGATGTTGCACAGGCCTTTAAAGGAAACGTGGGCTGACACATGTGCACAAAAACATATATTTGTTTTTTTTTGTTTTAGAAAACTATGCGCTACATAAAAAAAGATAAATGAATCTGTTATTGGCTGTTCAGTGTGTCATTTAGACAACTAAGAATACGCACCGAAGCTCCTTTCGGCTTCCATATCAGATAACAAACACACCATTCTTGTTGTGAATAGATAGGGACACAAACCGACGCAGTACATTCACACAGAAGAAGATAAGTACATGCACAATAGCACATCTTCTCATGATATGTCTGCTGTCCTGTCTTTAATTACAGCCAGACGTTTGATGATAACACCACATTGTTGCTGTTTTCTTCTTCTTATCGCTTCATTACTTAAAAAAAAGGTTGATTAAGCAAATCCGAAAGAAAAACAATGAACAGGGATCAAAATATGTTACAAAAGCTAAATAGTTTTGAATGAGAGGGGGCTCGCTGCTACTCAGAGTATGAAAAGCAGCTACGGGTTTGTTTATAGTCAGCAGAGGGGGGAGACAGATAACATTTTTCAAGGATTAGAGTCAGGAAAGAAAAAGCAGCACCAAATAAAGAAGAAAATGCAACGGGTCGGCCGGACCTACGGGGAGGGAGAGAGGGATTAACGGAGGGGTGAGGGACCGCGAGAAGGAGGGCGAGGACTTTCAGCCGCAGTCGTAAAAGAGGGAACGTGGGGCGCTGGGACGACAGAGGGGGCGCTGACCGCCATGAGGTGCCCCGGGGAGGCCTCCTTAGATAGTTGGTGTTCATCCTGTGCTCTACCTGGAGGTGTTAGTCGCCCACCGACAGACATCTGCTGCATCCGCGAATCCACCGGTCAGGCAACCAGCCGTCTGTACTGTGGTGTGATTCACTGGTGTGATTGTTTATACAGGAAATAAGTGGCTCTGTCACTCTGCTGCGACCGCGCCGCAAGCAAACACGTTTTTTTATGGTTTAAAATGACATGATAATTAAGGAAAAACATTTATGCCTAACTTTATTTATGAATGAATCTGCTGATTATGGTTTATGGTGTACGTGTGTTTGTGTGTAATATATATATATATATATAGGCCTACAGGCAGAGATATGAGAGGAGATCAGCAGTGGAGAAGTAGTTGGACGTGGACTTGCGTGTGTGTGTGTGTGTGTGTGTGTGTTTGGGCTAGTTGCATCACAGGAAGCACGCTGTCTATTCCACAGTTGAATTTGACCCTTTGGCCCCGGATCAAATGCTCCTCCGGGCTGAATACCATGAAGCCTCTGTCCTCTGCACCACGCACTGCTCCGCGCTGCACGGAGGCCGCGGGGGGGTCAAATCCCAGACCCAACCATCCTGCTACACCTTCGAATCCGGAACCAGAGACAGTTCCGACCTGCCCGCCCGACTGGCAGCGACTGTAATGGGGGGAAGTCGCTCCTATTTTTAGCCCCACGCCCGATAGACGAGCGAAAAAGCAAACAGACAGTTGATGCACGCGCACAGACAGACAGACAGAGAGAGTCTGTGTGCGTGTGTGTGTGTGTGTGTGTGTGTGTGTGTGTGTGTGTGGACTGAGGCGTCCCCTGGGAGGGTTGTTGTTATTGCAGCAGGATGTTGGAGCAGGGAAAGATCTGATATGGGACATGGCTTTGGCCAGGAAAGTGTGTGTGTGTGTGTGTGTGTGTGTGTGAGTGTGTGAGAGTGCATTTCTCCACTACCATGAGGAATGAGTTGAGGCCAGAGGCATTTCTCAGTGTTGTTTCTCTTCAGCCCTCCTCCCCGCTCTCAACTGCTTCACATTTGTTGTTTGCTTTGTCTTTTTCAAACGTTTTTATTGGACACTGGAAACCAAATGTGCTTCGTTCTTTATTTTCGTCCATTGTCATGTTTGATTTCAAAACTCTTAATTGGAAAAGTGTAGAAACGATGCGTCTCATCCGTAACGCTGCACATCTCCTCAATGTGCTTCTTAATTAAAGGAGAAGCCATGATAAACTCTTGTATGTTTCACGTACGTACGTCAACAGAGCAAAGCAAGGAAGACCAGTCCAGCACCTCTTTTTCTTCCTCCCAAAATGTTGCCGGATGGTGTGAGTTGGTGACCAAATATGCCCTTTTGTCAAATTAGACACAACCGATTTTAGCACCTCTGTGAGGGAATGTGATTTATGTGCCGCACCTGTCTCCAACAAGTGCAAAACGTAATATCCTGTTTAGTGGGTTTTGTAAATTGGTTAGCAACTTGACAGAGAAATACGATATGAGGCTTTAAGCACCTTGATTCTGACCCCTCGCGCCTCAAATATAACACTGTCATGGAAAGAGGCCCCAAGAGGAAGCTGACCTGCGTCTTTGCAACCGTCTGGTGAAACAACACGTACGCGTGGACTGCCGCGGTCGTTCGGACTCGGGGGGGCCGAGCATGGAGCGGTTCATAGTTCGCCGTTCATGGTTTTAAATATGAAACATGTTGTGCTTTTAAACAAAAAGGGTTGAAGAGCGTTTGGCGAAGCGCCGTAGCGGAGCAGCCAAACAGACCGTTGTATCGTCTTTCTCGGCGCAGGGGTCGGCCGCGATGCGAGAGAGGCCGATTCAAATGACTGCAGCTGCACTTAATCCTAAAACCACAGGCGCTGCAGGCATTCGGCGTAAAGCTGCATCTCTATAGAGTACGTCTGCCACATTGTGATACTATATTACGACAAGTTAATAACAGACATGTTGTACCTGCTCCTATAAGTTCTCCTCCTCCAGTTCTCCTTTTCTTCCGTTGACCTGTTATAGTGGACCCAGCCCCCTGCTGACTGTTTGGATATCAGCGGACCCAATTTGATGTGCATTGCAACGACTTTGTATCAGGATTGCCGGCATCTGGCATAAGCGTTGGAGATTTAGCCCTCATGGTAAATACAGGATCACAGTAAATGCGTCTTTGCACCGTTTCGGGGGAAGGTCACATCATTGCCCGGCCTCATTGCCCAACGTGCGTTTGTGAGGAAAAGGAAATAAGTTATTTTAATCAATAGGAAGTGACCTCTCACCAAGCCCGTGAAGCAGTTTAAATGACGGAAGGGAAAAGTGACCTCTGACCCTTTCTTCTGGACCTTGCAACCTTGGCTCGGCAGTCAAAGGAAGTGCCGTCACGCAGAGTTGCCCCGGCGACGTCCCTGTCTGCAGATTACAAATGTTTGTCATGTTTTTGCCGTGATGAGGTCCGTTCCCTTCCCCTTTGAGACTGGGAATAATGGTGTGTAATGCAGCAGCAGATGAGCCTGTACAGTCGTTCATCATCAGAGTTCTTCACCCCTTCAGTCGCTATTTGACTCCAGCATCCCGATCGTTTTATGACGAAGCACAACAGGATTATTACTGGATTTCAGCTTTGTGTTGTGCTAGTTTCAGCTTGTCGCTGTAAGTAGCCAGTGGCCTGGAAGATTGATGGTCTGACTCGGTGTCCTACAGGGGGTGAGGGGGGCATAGTACAGTATGTATATATATATGTTGTGGTCAGATGGTTTATGAGCCTCTCGTTTCTCTCCGCTGACACTTATAGACAGCAGATGCAACATCCATCTCGTGTATGAGTGCGATGTTTACACGCTGTCTGCAGCGTAGCTGCCTGAACTGCTGCCCTCTGTTTCCAGAGTAGCTTTTAATCGATTTTCATGCTGTTGAAAATGATTGCCTGCCAGTGTGAAACTAAATGACACACGATCATTAAAATACTTGCCAAAGTCAAATGAGGCCGTTTTTTGGTCCAAAGCAGCTACTGCTGCATCCATGTCCTCGCTTACAGGATGTAAATATGGCCAACCCAATCTGCTTCACCCAAGCGCTTCAGGGTACTGTAAACAAATGTTGACAATCACACCATAGATCTGAGCTCAGCTTGTTTGTTTTACAGAAAAGAAAACGTTTGAATCGTGGCTGTTGAATGGATATTGAACTCTGTCTTCTTTGTGCGTGCTTTGCAGAAACTGGGCGGTAGCATGCAGTGTGAGGAAGGTACAGAGTGGCTGCTGGAGCTGCTGATGGAGGTGCAGCTGCAGCAGTACCTCCTTCGGATCCGAGATGACCTCAACGTCACGCGGCTGTCCCACTTTGACTACGTCAAGAACGAAGACCTGGAGAAGATCGGCATGGGTCGACCTGGTGAGAAACCGCGTCTTTGTTGGGTTGTTTTCACAATAACTAGTTTGGACGGATGGAAGCAGTGATGCTCTCAATTTGCTGAAGCCTTCGGGGTTCTCGAGTATGAAGACTAATTACACCCACTTCTGCTGCTTGTATATTCATATCATCTTTTTCCTCCATTCATCTCAGTGTTCTCTAAACTCAACCTTCATCTGTCTTGTAGTTGCTTTATCTCCCATCTCTTCTAACCCATAGTACGTGTGCACTCATCTTTTCTCTGCCCACCATCCCCTCAATTTAGACAAATGACTTGGAAATAATTATGGTATAACTTCTGTGACTCAAATCTTGATGGTTCCTCTGGGTTTTGCTGCTTTAAGAAGACTCATTGGGGAAGAAGAAGCCACAGCACATTCTTCTTCCTTGTGTTTGCCGTTGTCCATCAGTGCATTTCTCTTTTCATTCTTTTGATAAAGGACAGAGACGACTGTGGGAGGCTGTGAAAAGGAGGAAAGCCATGTGCAAGCGTAAATCCTGGATGAGCAAGGTGACAGACATAGACGGGCACACACACACACACAGGAATCATTTATTATTGTGCATGGTTGACATTGTGTGGACATGTTGGCGTCTGTCTGTCCGCGTGGACGCTTTCACAATACATGATAGAAACTCTCCCCCATCACGTTTCACAACGCAGTTTTTTTATCTTTGTGTTTTTTATGCGAAGAGCAGTGTTTTAACTATGTAAGTGTATTTGTAAAATACAATTCAGACTCTAATGCAAATTCAGCACGCTTCACCAAACAGCCTCTACCACCTGTCAGTTTCTCTTTTGTTGAATTAGGAGATGCATTCTTATTTCTGGTAAGAAATGACTTGACTGATTGGCATATCGGTTAGTCTTATGAATTAACTCACTCCCAATTAGTAGCAGCTAGACGCACAAACAGACAACTTGTGTTGTATCCAAGCTTTAGAAAACTTTTGAAAATGACAAATGGCCGGCATTCACTTTGTCTCATAAAGAGACTTGACGATAAACGATACTGTAGAAATATAGAATAGTGGACCAGACATTCTTAGTCAAATCAAGGACAAACCAAAGTCAATTAGTAAAACTTTAAAACTATGCTCGCTTTCTGACGAGTGACAACTTTGTCTTTGTGTGTGTGTGTGTGTGTGTGTGCTGCTCTCAGTGGAAGTCACGGTGCCTGGAGGACATGGTGCTCGCCTTCTATAATTACACCTGTCTGTTTTCGCCTCCGGCACCATCCTCGGCTAAAGTGATCTGCTTCCTCAGCGTGTGTGTGTGTGTGTGTGTGTGTGTGTGTCGCGCTGCAATGCTCAGAATCTTTTGAATGTCGAGCCTCCTATTTGAAACCCACTCACCACGCGGTGACCCAAAAGATGTGGTGTTTTTAAAAAGGCTCGCAGCATTATGTCATGTCTGCTCCAGCGTGAATGTGAAACCACACACGGCTCGCTACTGTTTATATCTGGCCATTCAAATATGTTTGGCACCAAGGATTCCTTGACACCTCTTTTTCACTGATGGTACCATTTCGGAGCGAGTGCTGACCTTTCGATTACCAGTCAGTAACGAGTCCAGCTCTCATTCACTTAATTAGTATGAAACAACGTTGGCGTTGATTTGTTGCTTTAGATTCCAGATGGGTCTACTTTGGATAAACTATTTAAGATGTTAATTGGGGTTGTTTATTGCTGGTAGAGAAATCACTTCATTCTTTTACCTGTAATGCTATTTTCTATACAGTATTACATCGTTTTCTTTGGGTATGGCAGCAGTATTACTTTCTTAGAATTCCTATTTTGGTCTTGGTCCGAGCCTCTAAACAAAGGTTTCCCTTAATGGCTCTGCACAGAACACGTATTTTATGGGTTCAAATTTAGGGGAATGAAAAGCTCACACAAACACACACAAATGGGCATTCAGGTCACATAATCTAATGCTTCTCAATGAGCACTTCCTCACAGCTAAGTCATTGCTGCTGTGTTGTCAGCGCTTAAGCCGAGAGGCCGGAAATGTCTCTCTCCTATAACGATAAATGGTGCGTGCTTGTGCTGGTTTAGGTACAATGCATAGTTGCTTACCAACAGGATATCAGCTGGAGGTGTGAATCATGATTCCATTCCACACACAATGATTCTCAATGTGTTATTTGTGTGCCTATTTTAATGCACATTTTTCATAAATGAATACAGCCATTCTGAATCTAAGCTCTTTTTTTATTTAGAGAAGTGTGTCTGAAAATCAGATAACAGTCTAAGATATAGAAAGCTGAATATTTCCAGTAGCATTATCTGTGTGACCAACTTCTCTTCGTAAACGTTACCAAAATAAAACCTAAATCCTTATACGATGTATAAGATCAGTTTGACAGTAAACAACAGAAAAATGCAGTAAAAACTTGCACTGAGCTCATAATTGTACTCCTTCAAAAAGTGAACCAGAGGATGTAGAAACATTATCACTGCCTGATAATGCATGCTACTCACATCCAGTGCACCCACGGGCCTACAGAGTGGGTCCGCCCTGTGAGTGGGTGAGGAGAGTCGGGGGGGAGAGCAGACCGGGAGAGAGAGAGAGAGAGAGAGAGAGAGAAAGTGGAACTCTACCAAAGCTGAAGCCCTTTTCCCTTCGTTCTTCCTCTTCCGCAGGTGTTCAGTGGAAAGCGGCCAGACGGAGGAGACTTCCCCCAGCAGGGCCAGCCGGCCTCCTCCTTCCGTAAGCTGTCTCCCACACCTCCACTGGGCCTGGAGGAGGGAGTCCTGGCCACGCACCCCGGTGGTGGTGGTGGGGCTCCTCTCGATGAGCAGCAGCAGGCCCTGACCTGCCTCATCCCAGAGAAGGATCTGACGCTGTTTGAGAAGCTGGGGGACGGAACCTTCGGTGTGGTGAAGAGAGGAGAGTGGCTGACGCCCGCAGGGAAGGTGGTGAGGAGACTTGCGCTTCAAATGCAACACACGACTACCTTTTTTTTTTCTTCGATGGCGGAGAAAAAAAGGCTGAATGGTCACTATGAGCACATCTAAACTTTAAATTGTCGTCCTTGTGTCCAGCTGAATGTAGCCGTGAAGTGTCTGAAGACAGACGTGCTCAGCCAGCCCGAAGCTCTGGAGGACTTCATCTGTGAGGTCAACGCCATGCACTCCCTGGACCACCAGAACCTCATTCGTCTCTACGGTGTGGTGCTGACACATCCAATGAAAATGGTAGTGGACACAAACAAAAACAACAAAAAAAAACACAGACAGGGCGGAGTCAACACAGAAAAATGAACACAATAGAGATAAAGTTACACTCACACAGACTCAACACAAGCGGCATCCCTCAAGCACTGGTTCTTCTGCCTTCATCAGGTCGAGCAGCTTTTTAAATAAACAAAGGTGTAACGCTAAATGTACAGATCCGTCGCAGGAGAAAGGAGCGGCCCCTCAATGAACAATCAAACAAATAATAATTATTTAAAAAGGAGGGAAATATTCCGATCATAACATTAATATATTAAAACTAATCATTTAATGTGTGTCAATAGAAGGCGACAGAGAAATAGCTTTTTTAATAATAATTGGGACATGTATGTTATTGTGTGTGTGCATGTCTTAAGGCCTTTGTCTGCAGTGGAGAAAGTGATGGAGGAAAGGAGGGAGACAGGAAGGGAGGGGAGCAAGTGGGTGGATGACTAAAATAAAGGCTGACATTTCAGCATTGTGGTTTTCATCCTGCCTTTACCATCTAGTTATTTCCCCTACCAAATAGTTTTGGACAATGTCATCATGACTATCAATTGACCAAACTAGTAGCTACAAAACTCGCAAAATAGTTTTTTGCCATTACATTATTCTACATTTTGAATCCTCCTATTCTCCTTCTACCTCCAAATACCGTTCTTGGTTTCCTTTTTTGCTTTTTCGCTGCTCCGTTCCTCTTCTCACCCAGTCTGCCCGTCCTTCTCCAGGTGACCGAGCTGGCTCCCCTGGGTTCCCTGCTGGAGCGCCTGCGCTGTGTGCGTCCGCTGGGCCCGGTGTTGATCCACACTCTGTGCCAGTACGCTGTGCAGGTGGCTTGTGGCATGGCCTATCTGGAGCAAAGGAGGTTCATCCACAGGGACCTGGCAGCCAGGTAGGGGACCAACCACTTTTTTTAAACGTTTGAGCATTTTAGCAAACTAATAAAAGGTTCGAACCCTAAATTTAAAGGGTGTGTGTTTCTCACATTTTCTTTGACACACCTTTTTTTTTCTCTTAAGGATTTTTTACTGGTATTGTGAATTATTTATATTGCTTCTCCTCCCAGAAATTTATAGGCAATTTTTAGAGAGACTTGGCCCGCAAGTAAAAGTGAGTCACTCGTTGGCCGCTGTAATGGGTGGTCTAAGTTCTTGGTCTTTCCCAAAGTCACTTTCATTCATTTTTTATTAAACTGCTTACACTTTGCAGATGCTTAAGAAAAACGGCTGGTAAAAATGAGTCATTTTCACAGTTGAGGGTGTTTTTAAAACGGTAATAACTTTTACAGTATGTCAATTACAAAGAGTTTTAACTTTCAGTTAGAACCTACCAGACAGGTAATTGTATGTATAATACATGTGAGGATCTACTGCACTTTCTATTTTAATGTATCTCACAAGAGTTTTAGGACAGCCAGGTAAGCAAAAACTACGAATTAAGCCTTTAAGTTGTAGTCGTACGAATACAATGAAAACGACTACATTTAAACTCTATTTACAGGAACATCCTGCTGGCCTCAGCTCACAGAGTGAAGATAGGAGACTTTGGCCTGATGAGGGCGCTGCCCAACAACCACGAGCACTACGTCATGCAGGAGCATCGCAAGGTCCCCTTTGCATGGTGGGTCGACAGAGAGCAGCTCAACATCTGAAGCTACAGTGCTGATTACGTTATGAGAGACTTGCTGTGTGCATCTTAATTCTTTGCATTTGTCAAATTCTGTATCGGCAAAACGGACAGCTCATGTGCATGTATGATTTTAATACAAAAAACACTGTACGGCTTTTTTTCATTTTTATTTTTAGACGCTTTTAAAGTAGGGATTGTTGTTGAAATGCATTGACCAAAGTGCGGGATTTATCTTTCTACAGTTCTACATTAAAGTTTTTTTCTCCCTCCTGCTTCAGGTGCGCCCCAGAGAGTCTCAAGACCAGAACGTTCTCTCACGCCACTGACACATGGATGTTTGGAGTCACTCTCTGGGAGATGTTCACACACGGCCAGGAGCCTTGGCTCGGTCTCAATGGGAGCCAGGTAAACACAAACACAAACAGATCCAAAACGTTTGTTCACATTTGCACTGACGCTTTCTTCAACTGTCCTCTCTTAATTATTTTCTCCAACACCTTAGATTTTGCACAAGATTGATAAAGAAGGTGAGCGCCTCCCTAAGCCTGAAGACTGTCCGCAGGACGTCTATCATGTGGCGCTGCAGTGTTGGGCTCAGAAACCAGATGACAGACCCTCCTTTGTTGCGCTGCGTGAGTTCTTGCTTGAGGTAGGAGAGCTGAAATTCGCTTTATTTTTACTTTGACACCTCCGGCAGAGAAAGACCTGTTTTCTCCCCCCAGCAATGCGCTTCACATAAGTGGATGTTCAGCTCCACCTAGTGGGTAACTGCGAAAATGTTGCAGTATAACAGTCGAAGGCGCAAAATAAGAAATAAAAACACGTTAAGGGCCTTATCATCTCTCCCAATAAAACATGACATACTTTCATGAATGTCAAATTAACTTTGGTGTTTCATGTGCTTCTCTTTGTGTCTCTGTATGTGGGTGTTTTTCAGACCATGCCCACAGACATGTGTGCCCTGCAGGACTTTGATGAGCCTGACAAACTCCATATCCAGATCAATGATGTCATCACTATAATAGAGGGGAGGTGGGTTTAAGACTTTGTAGAAGAGGCTTTCCTCCAAATATGAAAATGTTATATTGACTATCTACTATGCTAAATGTCAACATGCTAAATGTGTAGTATCATTTGGTGACTCTCCATGTTTCATGCTCAGTTTCTGTGTCTTTCAGGGCGGAGAACTACTGGTGGAGAGGTCAAAACAAGCGAACCCTAAAGGTCGGACCTTTCCCCAGAAACGTGGTGACCTCGGTGGCAGGTTTGTCAGCTCATGACATCAGCCGGCCGCTCAAGAACAGCTTCATCCACACGGGACACGGAGACAGCAACCCGCACCGGTGCTGGGGCTTCCCTGACAGGATCGACGAGTAAGAACCAGCTTTTATTTATGTAACTTTATGTGACTTTGGCACTGCAATGTATCCAGAGGGATTGACGTGGTCAAAATGTCTCTTCATGACTTCATGCCCCATGTTGGAACATATCAGTTTAAACTCTCTCTCGCCAATAGATGGCAGTAGCACAATGCTGCAGATTTCAACCTATAACAGAATTATAACACCAATGTTCGGTCGATTCTGTGTACAGAATTTTTGCTTTTAAGTAAATCTGGTGCTCTCTTTGCACTAGTTTGTACCTCGGTAATCCCATGGATCCGCCCGATGTCATCGGTGTTGACCCCGGTGGCACTCGGCTCACACAGCTACCAGGACGAGCTAGAAGTGAGTCTAAAATATGGCTACCAAACAGCTTGCTTTTAATATTTCTTAACACTATCTGGCAAAACCTTTTATATGTAATCGGACATCTGCCTCCTGCTTTTTGCCCCTAATCTCTTTTTTTTTAAATCTCTGCTGCTGTCTCCTCCTCCGCCCCTCTGTGTCTCCTCTGCCATGGTGGCATTTGCTTTTATTCTTCCAGAGGAGCCTCCTCCTCGTCCTCCTCAACCAGCAGTGTTAATCAAGAGTAAGTCTGGTTTCTCTCAGCAGCTCCTCACCCATTGTTCCTGCCCTCTCTGTTCCCTCCTAGCTCCACTCCTCAGAGGTACATCTCATACGTTTTGTTCTTTGCCTGGCTTTGCAGTGATTTGGTCATCTACTCTTATCTCAGTGCCGTTGTTCTCCATCTTTCCATTGACGTGTCCCCTCTAACAGGTGTGCTGTGTCCTTTCTGTGCACGATAGGATCATTTTTTCCCCCCTGAGTTTTGGTCTTTGGGTGTGACATGATCCAAAGGAGCATTCCTGTCCTCGCGCTAGTAATTAACGTATTGCGTGTTTGTGTCTGCAGCGCCCTGCTACGACGCGGTGAATGACGACGAGGATCCGACTTCGGCCGGTCTAAAGAGATTATCGCTTTGGAAAACGGCGTCTGTCAAAGGCTTGAAGCTCAAACCGTCCGCGTGGGTCTCTGCTTCCAAACAGGGGAGTGGTCGGATTTCAGGCTCGGGCCACACCCCCGGCAGTGAAGTGTCCCTCATTGACTTTGGGGAGGAGTTCCCCCCGCCCACCCCGTCCCCCTCCCCTGTAGTGGAAATTCAGATTCCCACACTGGCAAAGCTGGCTTTGGAAGCAGAGAACCTCCTGGACCGGACCCCGCCTCAGAGCCCGCGTAGATCGCTGCCCCGCCCCCTTCACCCCACACCAGTAGTGGACTGGGACGCTCGGCCGTTACCCCCACCCCCGGCCTATGACGACGTGGCCCAAGACGAAGACGATATGGAGGTACGGTAGGAGGTGACACAGCACATCTTTTACATAAAAGCTCAAATTTCATGGAAACGGGATGTTTGTCTCCTGTTCTGATGTCACTTTGATACAACGGATCTACGTGTCTTCTCCCCCCACAAAGGTGAGCTCCATCAACAGTTCAGAGCAGCAGCACGAAGAGGAGCAGGCTGAGGTCTGTAACCCAGATGTGGCCCTCCTCTCTAGACCTGAGGTTGAGGGTGATGCTGTGGTTGCCAGGGGTCCAGACCGATCAGGTCTGGGGGACAACCTTTTTCTCCCCAGCAAGCAGAGCCAAATTCTGTCCACCTCCTTCTCCCAGTCAGCAGAGATCTTCCAAGAACTCCAGCAGGAGTGCATGAAGAGGCTTAATGTACCGACTGGAAGTGCTGCACGGTCGAGCTCCCCATCTCAACATCTCAACAGTTTATCCCCGTGTCCCCGGACGCGACAGACTGACGAGGGACACAAGCGCACTGTCTTCTCCTCCAACGAGGACAAACCCCAAATCCCCCCGCGTGTCCCCATACCCCCTCGCCCCATGAAGAGGGGCGACTACACGTCTCCTCGCTGGTCACAGGATCTCTCCCTGTCACCAACACCGGCTGACGTCACAGAAGACGCTTCAGGCCAAGGACAACCACCTCGGATCCCTCCCAGAGACCCTCTGTCCCAGCCGGGCTCCAGGACTCCCAGCCCCATGGGCCTGGTAGTGGGCTCCCCCCAGCAGAGACTCTACTCTGTGAGCCCCGTCTCAACGCAGGCTCACCACACCTCCTGTCCTCCGGCACACACGTACGGCTCCTACCTCTCCAGCTCGCCAGGCAAACTCATGCCCACCACGCACAGCTTCGCCTCGGATCCGAAATACGCGGCGCCCAAAGTGATCCAGGCCCAGGGGCACGGGAGGGACTCGGCCGGCAAAGGCCCGTGTATCCTCCCCATCGTCCGCGACGGACGCAAAGTCAGCAGCACCCACTATTACCTCCTGCCAGAGAGGCCGCCGTACCTCGACCGCTACGACCGCTTCTTCAGGGAGACCGATGGCCAGCCGGCGGGCAGCGCGGAAGAGCGGCCCCTACGGCAGGCGAACACCGCCACGGTCAGACCCATGGTCGCCGGCGGCCAGATTCTCCAGGGACACGCCCAGGGACAGGCGCTCGTCCAGCCGGGTGAGCTGAAGGCTAATTTCTCCTCCAACAATAACAGCAGTCTGGGCGGGCCGCGGTCAGGGATGAAGACCTCAGTCAGTCTGCCTCGCGTCGGTTCTGACGGGCCGACGGCGGCGGTGGTCGCCGCGTCCTGCGGCGGGACGGAGGGCGGCGGGAACTCGGCCGACAGGGTCAAAATGGTGAGGTCCGGAGATATTGGTTTTGCCTTTTACAAAAATCATTTGAAAAACAACTTGATGTATATTTTGTTTTTTAAGTTATATCCTGTGCTTATAAGTTATATCTCTACGGTTATTAAAGTCCTCAGCTCGATATCTCTCTTGTTTAGATGCAGTTACCTCATGTCCTCCTTGATGCCATTTTCATTGCTTCTTATCCGATTCTAATTTACAAATAAATCCCATTTTCTACACTAGATAGCCATCAAATTGTCTATTTGACAAAGTAGAAACAGGATGGAGAGAAACCTTCCCATCCGATTGTTATCAACACTCCGTTTTGCTTTTTTCGTTAGATGCTGTGCACAAAAGTTGTTTTATTTTTGGCAGATGCTTTAACTGCATAAATCTGTCTGAACTATCAATACGGACCAAATTATGACCGATGTGTAACTGCATAACATTTTCAAACTTGAACTCATGAACGCCAATGAATCAGACTAATTTAAAAAAGTCCTATTTGAATAGCATTTCACGATAACCCTTCTTCGTGAAAATGAAAATGAAAGCACTTCTACAGCTTCTATCAACTCACTTAAAGAGACGCCAGTGTTCTTCTAACACGCAGTTTGCTGTGATTTGAGCGGTTTCTTTCCGCTGCCACAAATTGAACCTGATTGAAGTGGAGTCAGAGTCACGGCAAAACAGCAGGCGCTCTCCTTCAATCGGGCACTCGGGATCGTGTAGTGGATACTGAGAATCTGTGGCCTCGCACACAACGCCGCGGGAATGTGAGGTCACGGATGTATAAACTGCACCGCAGAGGGGCTCAGTGCAAGAAGTAGAAACGCACGTATGCATCAGCTCACGGCTGTAGTCTCAGTAGTGCAACGATGAGGCGGAATTGTTATTGTAGGTGTCTGATAAATCAAATCATGACAGTGTGAGCGTCGGCATGTTGGAAGTAGCTTGAGGGGAATTTCAATGAGCAGAATTTGTAGAAGATGATTTGTTTTGTTATGGCATCGTTGACTGAAATTTGATAATTTCTTTGATAAGAGACAAAAATCTCTCTTCAAGCAGAATAAAAGAATTTGATTGTCAAATTTGTGTTTTATGTAGTTGATGAAGCCAATTTCATCTAAAAATTAAAAAAAAAGTCTATACAGGCGGTGACGAGAGCATGAGGCGTGGGAGCAAAAGGAGTGTGAGTGGTGTTGGATGACACAGATCCTCATGCTGTTGATGTCATGTGATTCAGGTGCAGGAGGCCGTTCATGGTGTCACAATAGAGGAGTGCCAAGGCGCCCTCCAAAACCACAGCTGGAACGTCCAGAAAGCTGTGCATTCTCTAAAGGTGAGCTTCCTTCATCTGTTCGCCATACTGTGAGATATTAGAGATATTAGATCATTTGGCAGATTTTGGGGTCTTTGAGCAAATTTAATGGTTATAATTTGTTGTATTTAACAAATGATGAACGCTGTAGCAGCCTGTTAATCACAAGGTTGCTACACTCTAAAGCATGCCATGCTTTATTGTCCATTTGACTTTAAATTAGACTACTACTTCTTCTTTACACAAATTAAAATAATTCTCTATTGAAGAAGACTCAAAACTGAAACCTTAAACATTTTTCACTGTATATTCATTTTCTCATTCACTTTTCCTATTGACTGTATGCAGTCGGCCTTAAACTTTCTGTGACTTTTTCCACTAAAAGTAACTATACTGTTGTTGCCGTTCTTCCTTTCTTCTAAAAAAATGCAATTCTAGGAAAGCTGTTTTTACTCCGTGCTTTTGAGGTTAAGATGTTTAAGATGATTAATTCAATTTTATTTTCACGTTTTACTGGCATTGTTTTAATAAATTAATAATCTTTTATTATCTGGAGAATAATGAAAAAGTTTTCACAGTTCTAGTCCATCAAAATAAAGACCCGGTGAGGTTGACGTTAATAATGCAGCACGGCAATTACTGGAAGAGAGGCCGAGTCCTGGGAGATTCCTGCATCTTAAATTCCTTTTTGTTGGACTTTTTATTGATTCATATCAAGACATAATAAGAGCAACTTTCTAGAACCTTAAAGGAAAATCTGGTCGTTGCTGCTGCAGTAAGCCGGCAATAAAACAAACATACAGACTCATTGATGTGACTACAGCGGAGTTCAGCTCCCTGCCGGCCGCCTGTGTTTGGACGGCAGTGGGCTCGAGGGAACTTTTGTGTGCTCCTTAATGGTGTTGGCGAAGTTTAGAAAATACAGAGTTTGAACCAGAAGCTGAGCTCCTATAAGGACATTGATTGAGGGAACAAAGAGCTCACTGGTGCTGAAAGCTGGAGGGAGAGTATCAAAAGATGAATTCTGACCCTTTCCCAGAAACATGACCTCGCCGTTTGACCCTGCGTTTATTGCCTTATGCCACCTCTCTCTACTGGCTTCCTCGAACAATTGTTTTGGTCTTTGTTTGCCTTTTGTAGGTGGAGCAGCTGTTCTGTCTGGGTCTGCGGAGCAGAGCAGAGTGCCTAAAGCTGTTGGAGATGTGCGACTGGAACCTGGAGGTGGCCAGCACGCAGATGTTGGACAACTATGGATCCACAACAAGACAGAGGTACGATACTCCGTAGCTTTGTCAAGATGCTTTGTTTACGACCTCGCTCCCAAGTTGTGGCCTCAAGTCAACTTTGTCACATCTGTTAAACTTTGATTCTTAGCTTCTGCCGATTTGACCTTCTTAGAATAAGAAGTATTGCGGGTTAGCATGCGTTTAACGCGGGGAGAGACGCAGCGGTATGATCCAGGGAAGGTCTGCTGGCAGAACAGAGCTTTTTATCTCTGGATGTTCTCAATCTAATCGAAATCATCTTTCTGTTTACAGACGGTGACTGCTGAGCTCTGATTGGAACTTCATCCTGAGTAAGATGTCATCAGAGCTGGTGAATCGGCTGCTGACCCTTCATCCATATATGCACCTCCAATCAGAAGACTGTTATTTAGCAATGGATGAATCAAGCACATCTGAACTGAACCGGCACAAAATACCATATTATTATGGTATTATATTATTATATGCATACCTAACATGGACTACAGAAGTAGTTTGGGAGTAAAAAAAAAGAAGACGATGGGTTATTTTTGGACTTTGACCACCTTTTCTAACTGGTTCAGAGAAAAGAATAAATGACACCGCATTTGGTTCAATTTCGATTGATCAACCTGAAACGTGTCGTCCTGACAGGTTCCCTGCGGTCACAGAACGTGGGTGCTTCCCTACTGTGACACCTTGTGTCCTATTGCCCCACAATTGCTGTCCTTTTGTAATGTTAATGTTAAGGGGTTTGCAGAAGGCAAAATAGCACAATTTAATCAGGAGCTCTTCCTTGGATTTAATCAAAATACTACATAGGGAATGCGGTTTTGACCTCTACCATTTAAAATGTATAAAGAGACATTTTTTTGTTTGTTTACAACATATTGATAAGTTATTTAATATATTTTGAACATAATGCTAAGAGACGAGAGAAGACTGTTATGAGACACTGGGCGAGTCATTTAGTGAACTATTTAAATCAGTGGGGCTTAAGAACTGAAGGGCTGTGCAGCCAGTGGACCCTTCCTGCTAAAACCTTCCTCATTCATTGCCTCTGCACTTGGCCCAAACAGTTTTTTTGTGCATCAGCTGAAAACTGCCAGCTGGGTATTTTCTGCATACTACTTTGGCAGCTAATAACAGCAATGCAGTGGAATTTACCCCCGAGGCGCAGATCCTAACACTTAAAGTGACAAATGTTATATTTCGGTCAGCAGCTTTGGAGGCAATAATTCGAAACTGGAATGACTTGTCTGCTCTGTGTGAACCTTCTGCTGGGCAGAAAATACATTTTTCGGACTGGGTATCGTGACAGCGATGAACATGAAAAACCTCTGGGCAACGCGTCCTCCCGTTTTTTTATTTCGGCTGCTCCTCGAGTGCGAGGACTCCACTAAAAGGAAGAGGGATAAAAGGCTTCCATTTGCTTCTGAAATTCACTTTTTCCAACCAGCCAAACACTTCGTAGGGATTTTACTGTACAACACATACGACCCTTCGGTGCTATAGAACAAGAAAACAACCTTTTTAGCAACGTGTACATTTGCTAGATAAATGTTTTTCCCCATTAAGTAATTTACTTTGCTTAGACTAATCCCTCCGTGTCCACAAAAAACGCCATCACGCGAACGGTTCCCGGCCTAATCTGTCCGGGCCAGAGCTCCAAATGGTGTCTGAGAGAGCTGATTATATTTCTAAATGATGCACAGGACAGATTGTGGACGACAACCTGGAGTGAAAGCGTCCTCCTGTGTGCAATAAGTCTGCCGTAGAACACGGAACCTGCCGGTCTGGACACCCTTCAGAGAACACAGAATAAAGCGAGTGGGTGCGAGTGAGTTGTCCTTCCGATAGCCGGGTAAAATTGTACTTTAAACACTTTTCCCCCAAGTTCGTTTTGCCAACTTTCCCCCTAATGTGTTGTGGGAACGTTGATTGTTAAGGAGAACTCAATGTGAGTCCGTAGCCGGTTTGTTTGTCTGTATACGAAGCTGCTGAAGTGTAGCGAAGGACTGAAGTGAACCCAAAGCAACATCCTCCTGTTGTTGTGTTTCTACTCTGATGTCTGGAAACTGTTGAGTTCTGTTTTGTCCTTTTTTGCGATATCAGATTCTTCAGAAAGAATTTGTATGTATTTGCTTCTCAGAATTGGTTTTTAAGGCCTTTTTCATTGTTGTTGTCCTCCCGGGTTGACGGAAATGTTCATAAGAAGATCATGCTGCCGAATTTATAAATGTATTTTTTATTAAAGATTTAATTATTTTTTACCCATTTTTCAATCTTTTTTTTGGTCCTCAACCGGAAAATGTAGAAGCATTACCTTCTTCAAACAGGGAGCCAAGTGTTGAAAAGCAGCCGCTTTAATAAAATCCTCTAGAGAAAAACAATAACCTGCAACAAACTGAAATCAATGTTGACCTAAAATGCGTACACATAACAAGCTGTGCTTTAATGTTCAGTGGATTTAGTTACAGAGTGAGTAAATTTTCTCCTTTTTGTTGTGTGTGTGTGTGTGTGTGTGTGTGTGCGAGGTGACGTAACCAAACTAATAAGACCTTTTATATTTGTGATCATCGACGTTCCTACAATGTGAGACCTTGATCTTCATGAGAAAATAGACTTTACACCTTGCATTGTGTTATTGATCCCTATGTTATACTCATATCATGAGTGCACTGAGCTTTTAGTGATCAATAGTTCATTATCTGTTTCTGGCGCGGACCTATTTGAGAATCACAGACTAATGGATTTATTGATACTACGGTTTCTCCGGCTCGATAAGAACGTTATTACGTGATAAAATTGGAAACTTTGTAGAGCGGTTGTTAACTCGATAAAATCTTTAAAATATGTAAATGACTGAAACTACTGAACCTTTAGTCACACGCACTTTGATTCTGAGCCCATCACCCTCTATTCACCGTCTTTCTGTTCTTCACACACACACACACACACACACACACACACACACACACACACACACACACATCCTGCTTTACTGTTGGACTCGAGGACCCTCTGCTTTCTAATGAGAGACCCAGAAGGCCCTCCATTCATCTTACTGGTGTGTTTGTGTGTACAGGATCATTACTCAGACCACGGACAAATTATTAATGCCTGTTGTTCCAGTGGTTCGGGGCATTAGATCAGAAGCCTCACAGGAATCTCCAGAGAACCTATTGCGGTTTTCACCAAACCAAAGAGGACAAATAAAAAAGGGGTGAGAAAGTGGAGGCAGGAAGAGCAGCGAAGCAGATAAAACTACGTCCACATTTATATTCATATATCCGACATACGTTATTTATTTTTATATATAAATATATATGTGTCTAGAGTTTGCTTTACATAATTTCTTTGTTTAAGGAGAGTATATTCTTCACCAAGTCTTTCTCTTGGCTCACCATCACAATGTTGTGCTTAGTGGAAACTTTAGCTCAGAGCTGAGTATAAAGCGCACGCATGAAACTTTGTCTTCAATGGAGGAGGAAAGAAAGTGATGATAGAGTGACCCTTGTGCAAAGAGAAGGGTAGCTATGCAAATACATATACATTATATATTGTATCATCTCCATATATATATATATACTGTATATAGAGATCAATGTTGCTCTAAACCTCTTCCTTGCTCTCTCTGCCTCTATCAGTATACATTTCAGTATAATGAACACTAATTGTATTCTATTTCCCTTATAAATGTAGTTGAAGGCAAAACACGAATGAATGCCAGTTAAACCCAAATATCTGCCTGATATCTCTATAATATGTTGTATGTACGAAAGAATAAAAGAAAAAACAATACATGATAACTGTAGTGTTTGAAGTTGCAATATTCGATGACCACTTGAGGGCAGCAGAAACAACCCATTGATGTAATATTGACACAATAGCATTAGAGTCATGTGGTTGGCAACCTGATCAATGTGAGATCAATAGCAACTTTCTTTTAGCTCCGGGGCAAAGACACACTGTATTTGGCTCTTAAGCCGCTAAACGATCCACTGTGTTCACAATCTAGTGGCTCACTTTGTCTCCCTGCTCCCTGCAAAAGTGTTTGGAACTTACTCTGTGTTACCTTATTTTACCTATTTACCTGTGGTGTTTAATCATTTTTGTTTCCCATAATATATATTTATATATTTTCTAATATATAATATTTACCTGTGGTGTTTAATCATTTTTGTTACCCATAATATATATTTATATATTTTCTAATATATAATATTTACCTGTGGTGTTTAATCATTTTTGTTACCCATAATATATATTTATATATTTTCTAATATTATTTAATAACCTATTTCTAAATGATGTAATCATATATACTGAGTGGCCGTGGAGTATGTTGTTTTCATTTGACATATTGAAACACGAAGGTGTGAGCGTCAGCTGGGAAATGCTTAAAGAACTAATGAACAAATCGTGATACTGTTTTTCACATCACATCTTGCTCCTTCAGCCGAACTCCATTCATGGATGTATTTGTATCTCTAAAAGTGCTGAATCATGAACATACTCTGATATCTTGAAGAGAAAAGGTCCACGTGTGAGATAGGGGCTTAGATGAACGACACCTACAAGGAATTTGACAAATCAAATCAAACAAATATTATAAGCTATATCTTATACGTATATTCAAGGAGATGTTGTCGTCCCTTTTTGGATCATTTGCTGACATTTCACTGTGCAGGCTGATAGTCGAGTCACACTTGTTTAAGGTCTTGAACCTGTCACATGTTTTTTGTTTTTTTCTCTCATTCACACGTTGTACCAATCCTCATTCTTTCCCCTGTAATGAGCAGTGTCAGAAACCCCCCCAACAACCCTCGCAACCTCTCCGTGTGCTTTCAGCAGTTCCAAACAGTACACTGGTATTAACATCCTCTGAGCTACCTGTTGGGTGGATATAATTGGCTCCACTGCACAAAAGGTTTGTCGGAACAACTTTAAATCTACTGAGGAAAAGAGACGATTAAAACTTAATCAAAGGACAGGAACGTATTATAAGAATTTACTGCTCATATAGAGTAATTCTAAAAGAGACACTTTCTTTGGCTGCTGAAAACACACAGTATTAAACACAAACAAGCCATGCGGCTTTGCAGGTGGCTAAAGTGTAGGCGGTATTTTTTTAGTTTGATTAAACCATGTAGAATGTGACTCAATGATTGCGCAGATGGCTTTTCCTGCTAAATCAAGTGGTCGGGAGAAGCAGCATTCATCCGCATTGAGCTGTCAAGTATATTTTTTAATTACATCTATGTATATATTTATTAGATTATACATTTTTGAGGGAACTAGTGCTTCATTCTTGTTGATTTGCGCTGAGAGAGGCAACCTTCAATTTGTGAGAAGATGATTGTGTTTTTCTTTGCCATTTTAAGGGCACATCTACCCTAAAGCAGTTCTGACAGCTCTTCACCTTGTGCTGTCAGAATTTCAATCAATCCAAACATACTGTATGTGTAACCTCAGAAGAAGCTGAAAAGGCTTTGCGTTCCTTGGCATTCTGTCCTCACCAGGAAAAAAACATTTTAATGGGCCCCTCGCATCTAATGCAATATTTCCTTGACAGCTGTCACTTCCTCCTCATAAACACCCAGAAAGAGGACATCAAGACAGCGACTCCTTCAAACGCACACGAGTATTAATGCTTCAGACGCGTCAGTGTAACATTAAATGTCAGAATGCGAGTCGAGCCGACACTTTCAAAATAAAGACATAGCAAACAAGATGCAAACATGCTCTTTAATCTCTACATGCACAAAGTGTCAGTGGATGAAACTGTTAAAAACGCTCCAAGACACGTCAATCAATCAATCGCACGTTATACACTGTGACAAAAAAAAGGGGGGCAACTGATTAACACACCTTCCTAGAAATCTAATTTGCACTACTGCAACACCATCCCCACACACAAACGCACGCCTGCTATTCAGGCTGCTAAGCTTCTACGATTGGTGTCCAGGGAAGAGGTTGAGTTTATGGTTAGCAATTACCCAGCCCTTGGAAGAAATGTATGGATTTGGGAGAGGGGGGGGTGTCTGCATTATTGCCTAAACAGCACATCCCCTTTCATGATGATTAAATGGATCACTTGGAAAGCTGGACATTCAAACGCCCGCTTTTTGTCACCCTTTTCAAGCAATACGAAGGAACTCCTTTAAATTCTGCTTCTTAAGAATCTGGTGACAGAATTTTAGAAGCTAAGAAGAACTTCATTCGACTGCAATTACCATATTCAAACTGCAATTCATATGGTGAATAAGTCAATATGTTCCATGCACTTTGATGTTTTTTTCATCCCTGTTTTTGTCAGACTGTACGTATTCCACCATGTTTAACCATGTTATCCATTAGCCAACAAGGATTTACATGTGCACACATATATACAACTTATCCATGATGCTGATATTGTTCAATGCTGCCACTAGAGAAGCAGCAATTTTCAAACTTGTAAAGCTAGTATTGTGGTAATTTAACTGCTGCTTCTCGTTTAAAGTGTGGCATTGGCATTGAGGACCAAGAAAGTAATGTCACAAGGTTTGGATTTTCTCCAGTTTACATTGAGAGCAGCCGGAAAACTTTTAACAATCAACCGGTCTCATTTTGAATTGAGCATTTATGGGTAATATACTAATATAAAAGAAACAAGGACACCTCAGTAATGATGTGAATGCAATGTATTTATATTTAATAATGATGCATGTTGACACAAGCTGAGCAATGTTCAGAGAAAGAGTTTTGCAAAGAAAAATGTTAACCTGCAAACTGCAGGAGCTTCTGCTGCATACTGGGGCGTGCACAGAATGAAGGAGATGGCAGCTGTTGAGGACATTGCTTCATCAGATAGATAGATTGCACGGTAGATTTTTGAAACAACTATAATGTAATGCCAAAAAAACATCACACAACCCAGTTAAACAGAGCAGAAAAGATTTGACACAGAATTCGTGAGAACGTAAAACTCCACAATCTCCACACTTTCTCATCTCAAAAGAAAACAATTTAACTTTCTCGAACAAGCCATGTTTTATCACAGTTTACATCACAATGTTGCAATGCCATTTCGTTTAAGTTGCCGGCAGCGCACGCTCAGTCTGTGCAGAGATGTAATCAATTTTAATTGGAAAAGACAAAAATTTAGAGTTGTCATATAAACAGTGAAGGTGTGTACTTTAACTTCAAATGTCATCTCTCTTATTTTAAACATAGTCTGAGTGTTAACTGATACAATGCTAGTTAATGGTAAACTAATGTAAACAACCAA